TACCACACACCACACAAAGGGTGAGCGCCAACGCCACCACCCACCCACTCAACCCACCTGAGCGTATACGGGGTGTCTGTCAGCCGCGCAGGAGATGAGGGCCGCACCCCGGGAATTGGCCACCAGCCGCATCACCGTCACACTGCCCAGGTAGTCACTCGCAAGCACCAGCGAGCCGCCACCGCCACCGCCACCACCACCACCACCGCCATCGCTCGTACTACTCGGCCCGGGCCCTATCCTGCCCGGGGGGACGTCGTAGCTCAGGCAGGTCAGCGACATCACGCACGCGCCACTGAACGTCTCCGCGACATCCACCTCCCGTACGGTCACGTGCTGGCTCCAGTCGCGGTCCAGGTCGCGAAGGAGCTGGCGGATGGAGGGACGGACGCGGCGGCGGCGGCGGCGGCGGGAAGGGAAAGGGTAGTGGTGGCCGCCGCCCGGCCGATAGCTGCCGCCGCTGCCGGCGGGCTTCCCGTCATTGTCGCCGCCGCCGCCGCCGCCGCCGTCGTCGTCGTAATCGTCGTAATCGTCGCTGCTGTTGTTGTCATCGTCACTGCCCCACTCGCCGCCTCCGCCTCCGTCGGCGGCGGCGGCAGCGGCGGCGGCGGCCTCCTCAGCCGCTAACATATCCTCTTTCTGGATGTTAGGATAAAAGCGGAGTTCGTAACTTACGAATCGTAAGGTTTTTGTTTTGTGCGTTGTTAGCCGGGCGCTGGAAGTTGCCACCTACCCCCGCCCCTTCGGAATGCAACAACCCAATTCCCCACCAAACCCCCGGGCACGCTGTTGCTGCCACATATCGTACACTGCCGTATTTCCCCGCCACAACGCAGTCTGCTGTTCCCCAAAGCACTTGCAAGCGGCGTTTTTAGTGTACACGCAATCTGTACGTGATACGGCATAAACACATTTACCTCCAATCGTTTCCGTAGCATCTTGACGGTTCTCGCCGCCTCCGTCGCCGCCTCTTTGGCCTGCTCCCCCTCCAGCCCCTGCGCCTGGACCCACTGTCGGAAGTACTCTTCGTCGTCGCTGTCCGGCTGCACCAGCAAGCCCAGTCCGTACTTGTGCTCTATGTTCTCCTCCTTCTCCTCCTCCTCCAGCGCCTTGAGCCGCTCCTCCCAGTTCACCTGGGGGCCCGGGAGCTCTGTGCGGGATAGGGGACAGAGGGGATCGGGGGGGAAAGGGGGGATCGGGGGAAAAGGGGGGGAAAGGGGGGAAAGGGGGGAAAGGGGGGAAAGGGGGAGGTGGGAAAGGGCGACGACAGGGGACGACAGGGGTTAAGGGGGTTGATTTTGGGGGTAGGGATAGGGGGGATGGGAAGAGATGACACGAAGGAAGAGTTCTACATTGTTAATGTTAATGATACTATTATTATGACGTCATACACACTCCACAGGCACACGTCGATACACCTCACGCCTCGTTCGGCGCCCATGCGCGTTGAAATATGCGTGACATGCGCGAACATGTACTGCTGCCACGTACATGCAACCGCACCGGTGCCGCAGCCACCACCACCGGCTACCTGACCCGCGCTACCTGACTCGTCCTCCGCCAGCTCCTCATCTTCACCGCCGCCGGCTCCCTCCGTATTCATGATGACGTCAGGGCCGCCGGCCGTGTCGCCACTGCCGCCAGCCGCCGCAGCGGCAGCGGCGGCGGCCGCCTCCTTGGCCGCCTCCTTGGCCTCCTCCGCCGCCCGCTTCTTTATGAGCCTGTCAACTTCTTGCAGCCCTGCTTGAACCTCCGCGTAGTTTTGTGGTAGCGGCAAGTTCAGCTCGTCCATCTGGCCGACCAGCTGTAAGGCCCTTCTGACAGCTCGGTCGCCGCGGTGACGTCCGTCGTCCACATACACCTGGTACAGATACACACGGCCCTGGCACCCTGCCAGCAGGTACGGCATGTCCGCCAGGTTGCTGTTGCCGCCGCCGCTGCCAGCGGCGCCGTCGGCTGCCGCCGTTGGCGGCGCTGCCGCCGCCGGAGCCGCAGCCTTGGCGGGCAGCAGGCTGCCGCCGGCGCCGGGGGGTGCGACGCCGGCGCCGGTAGCGGCTGGCGGGGCGTACGACGATGGACAAGCGATAGCCAGGGAAGTTGGCACGCTAGGAACTAGAGATGAGCCTTGCAACAGCAATGAGTACTGTGTGGCGTTGGAGCCATCGGGCGCTGGTTTGGCGACCAGTTCCATGAAGGTCAGGGTGCCGTACAGCAGCTCCACGCCCTCCACGTGCTTGCTGACCTCCGGATCGCAGGAAGAGTCCAGCGACAGGTACGACGCTAAGACGACAAACTCCTTTTCCGGTTCGGCAGCCGCCGTGGAGGCGGCGGCGGCAGCGGCGGCGGCGCCGCCGGCGGTCCGCGCAGCGGCGCCGCTGCCGCCGCCTCCACGCCGCCGCCGGGCCGCCGCTGCCTTCCTGCCCGTGGTGCACGGCAGCGGCCCGACTGTGACGGCGGTGTGGAAGTGGCCGTACGCCAGGCGCATGGACATGACTTGCAGCATGGAGTTGACCTCGATGACGCGGAGGGAGTTCTCCCCCGTGGGATACGACTCGCACAGCGCCACGAGGCATTGGCTGGCGGCGTGGTAGGCGAAAGAATGGATTGTCTCGCCTGCGTGACGAGAACCGACAGTGAAGAGATCACTCGCCACCGGCCAAACTGAAGCACCAAGTCCTATCTCTCAGATGCATACAAACAAACAAACAGATTTATATCACACATCCCACACATCATAGACAATATTCGGCCCTCCTCTTTGTTGATGAGCACAATGTGGTAAGGATATACGCGTGACAGTTTAACGTGGAGGAGAAACCCGCCTACCGACGAAAGCGGTGCTCCACCTCAAACGGACCCGTGGGTCGATCCGCCCGAACAGCAGCTGCCCCTCGCGTGTAACCCAGCAGGCGCTGTCCGGCATGGCGACGGTGCTGACGTGGCAAACCGCCTGAAGACCCTCCGAACCGTGCACCCGTACGACTTCTACTAGCTGCTCCAGTGGCGGCGGCGGAGCCGCCGCCGCCGCAGCGGCGACGGTCGCGGCGGCCGCCTGCAGTCGGGGTCGCACAATCGCGCCTGAGTGCGAGTGCACATACACGTAGCCTCCGCCACCGCCGCCGCCGCTGGTGCTACTGCCGACGTAGCCACCGGCGCCGCCGCTGCTGCGCGGCCGTACAACCGGCGCCGGTCCTAATCCCGGAACGGGCTGTAGCTCTACTGGGACCTGACTCACACGCAGGCTGTAGCACGGCCCCAGCCGCCACTGCCGCGTAGGTGAGGCCACCGGCGCCTCCGCCAGCTGCCACATCAGCAGTCGGCCGGTGTGGGTACCCGCCAGCAACACTGGCGGCCGTACTGCCGCGGCGGCGGCGACGGCGGTGAAAGGCGACGGCAGCTCCAAAACCGCTAACGATCGCGGCGTCTCGTCCTCTGCTAGCTGAAGCTCAAGCAGCAGCCGGGACGGGTCTGCTACAGCTGCTACTTCTACGCGATTCGTCAGCCAGTAGCCCATCAGTACGAACGTCGCATCAGCCTCCGCCATCGCCTCCGCCGCTGACGGCTCGGTGGTGGCCGACTTGCGTATCGCCAGGTGCTGCTGCGGCGGCGGTAGACGGTATAGCGCCAGAGCCGAGAGCTGCGCGGGCAGCTGCTTTATTTCGGAGAGCGTTGTGACGACACCGGTCCCCGGATCGATCCGCAGCAGGTGCAGACGGTTGCGGCTGGCAGCGGCCAGGATGCAGCCGCTGTGCGCCGCCAAGGAAAGTGGCTCTGGGAAGGGAAGGGGAGGGGAGATGGTCGCGTAGGCGGAGGAGCCGGGTGGCGGTGTACTGGGGCAGTGCCAAACGCAGGGAAGGAGGAAAGCCGGCAGAGGGGGCGGCAGCGGGGTGGCGTGGATGGAAATCGCGACGCAGCAGATACTGGTCGCGGCTGGCGTGGGAAGGTCCGTTATGGCTGGGGGGCTGCAAACAGGTTAACGGTAGGTAGGCACCGGTGTACGGACGGAGCGGTGGTGGGACGGGACAGACAGACAACCAGACAGACAGGGTCGTACAGAACCCAAGTGCTAACCCCCCGGCCCCATGAACGAAACCCCCTCCCCACATCTCGACATGCTCCCGTATGAGGCACAGTCCGTAACGGCTAGCCGGCTCCAAAAGATGCTATCCATGCTTTTAGTAAAATAAAATGAATCGACTCGAATCTTTGATCAGGAGTTAAGAGGAAAACACAGAGCCACTCGAGCCTGGTGGTGCAAAGCCTCAGCATGCGCAGCACAGATCCAGACATAAGACCGACACAGCACTACCGCGAGCGAGCGGTGATGAGAGACAGACACGCGGCACGCATACACAGGCACGCATACACAGGCACGCATACACAGGCACGCATACACAGGCACGCATACACAGGCACGCATACACAGGCACGCATACACAGGCACGCATACACAGGCACGCATACACAGGCACGCATACACAGGCACGCATACACAGGCACGCATACACAGGCACGCATACACAGGCACGCATACACAGGCACGCATACACAGGCACGCATACACAGGCACGCATACACAGGCACGCATACACAGGCACGCATACACAGGCACGCATACACAGGCACGCATACACAGGCACGCATACACAGGCACGCATACACAGGCACGCATACACAGGCACGCATACACAGGCACGCATACACAGGCACGCATACACAGGCACGCATACACAGGCACGCATACACAGGCACGCGGACCCCCTCGCACTCCCCTGACTCCCATCCGGGCGGAAGGGATGCTCCGTCCCCATCCAAACACGCCGACAAAAACCCCACACACCCATACACCCCCTCCTTCCCCCAACACGCACATACCCGGCGCCGGCCACTCAGCTCCCAAATGCCCGCCCTCCTGCAGCGGCTTTAGTACCCGAATGCCCGACTGCGTGCGGGGGGAAGGGGGAGGGGGGAAAGACGAACCACGAACGAGTGAAGCTGCTGCCAGGGCACGAGGGTACAGGGGGGAGAGGGGAGAGGGGTTTTGGAAAGGGGTACAACCCCCGCCCTGCCGTAGTCCGGATAGATCCTCCTAACCGTCATCCAACCACCCAACCACCCCACTTACCGGCGCCAAGATAAAACCGACCGGATCCGGCTGTAGTTGTGAGACAAGGTAACGGCTCTCTCCTGCATCCCCTTCCTCCAAACGTCCGTAAATGCGCATCGCCCGCCGCCTGATCTTCCCCCCCTCCCCTTCCCTCTGTCCCTTTCTCCATATCTCGCACCTGCATAACTTGCACCAGCCGCCTCCCTGCCACGTCAGCCAACAGCAGTGACGCCGACCCGTGGTTCAGTCCCGGCAGCTCCACCTGGGGAAGGGGGAATCGTTCGGCCGCAGTTTGCCGCACCAAGCCACGTGCGCAGTGGACTTCCTACTCGAAGAAGACGCCTACCAGCACGAACATGTTGCAACTATGTGGCCTGGTGAATGAATATGTTCACATGGCAGCTGGGAAGTAAGGGCACACCGGCTAGGATTGCGCCTCCGTCTGGGCACACAAACACATACACACACGAATACATACATACATACATACATACATACATACATACATACATACATACATACATACATACATACATACATACATACATACATACATACATACATACATACATACATACATACATACATACATACATACATACATACATACATACGCAGGCAGACACGATTCGGCGCACAGCGCTCACTGCATGCATCCCCCCGCCCCGCTCCCTCTCCTCCACCCCCACCTGAGTGAACTCGCCGCCGGCCGCCGCCCCCCCAGCTCCCGGCCCCGTAGGCCCCGCCACACAAAGCAAGTCAGTGCGACCAGCGGCCTCAAAGCTGAAGGCGATGTGCGTGTGGCCGGGGGAGGGGAGGGGGAAGGGTCCCGCCGTCCTACCCTCCCCCGCCCCGGGGGAGCTCTCCAATTTCAATGGGAACATGCGGCAGCCGTCCTGAAGCGTGTGTGTGTGTGTGCACGTGTATGGGGAGTAAGGGATGGGAGCGGGGAAGGAAATTTACCAAGCACGAGCTATGAGTCATGTGCTGATGCAAGAAGGCCATTGTCAACTGACAGCGCCCACAGCGTGGGTGAGGAGGCTGGGGCTTTAGGGGGGTCGTAGTGCAAGTACACGAAACGTGGCCTGCTGACCTCTGCCGGGGCAGACTCATACCCTTACACAGCTTGGATAAAGGGCGGGTGGTAGTGGGTGGCAGTGAGGGTGGGTGGGTGGGGTAGTAGTGGGTGGGGTGGTAGTGGGTGGGGAGAAAGGAGAAGAATTGATGGCGCGCAGACACAACATTCCTACAGCGGGCGCAACGGGGGAACAGTTCAAACGAGGGTTATCCAGCGACTCCCTCCTCCGCCATCCGACGCTCACCTACCCCCCAATAACCCCGCTCGCCTTCCTACCTCGCTCACACTCCCAGCCGACACACCCTCCCCACCCCCACACTTTCCCCCCAGCCCCCGAGCCCCCCTCACCGGCACCCGGGGTCCATCCGACATGTACGGCTGCATCCCCGCAGCCAGCCGAGCTCGCACCAGCCGTCCAGCGGCATTGCGGCCGCAGCAGGCGACCAGCCACGGGTCGTCAGCTCCTGGACAGGAAGGGCGGCGGGAGGGGGGGGAGGGAGGGGAGGAAAGACGGACCACACACGATTGAAGCTGCTGCCAGGGCAAGAGAGTAGCAAACGTAAAGGGCGGGAGGGGGGAGGGGAGGAAAGACGAACCACGAACGCGTGAAGCTGCGGCCACGGAAAGAGAAAGAGTGTACAAGAAGTAGGACTGACCCAAAAGCGTTCTTGAAGGCGGCGTCCTCGGGATGACGTAAGTGAAGATGATATCGGAGCACACTACCTACCTAGCCGCCAAGACTAAAATAATCGCGGAAGAAAAGCAGTAAAGCCAAGTCGTAAAGAAAAAGGGGGGGAAAATGGGCAATGCGGGCGAAGAATGGGGAAGGCCGGAGGAAGGAGGGGAAAGACGAACCACACACGATTGAAGCTGCTGCCAGGGCAAGAGAGTAGCAAACGTAAAAACTGACCGAAAGGCGTCCGTGGCGACTGTGGCGACTGTGACCCCTTGATGACGTTGATGTCGGAAATCCTACCTACCTAAGCCGCCAGAAATAAAAAAGCTGAATAGTATAGCCAATCCGTAAAGAAGTAGGTGTAGAAAAGTAGTAGTGAAGGCGGCGAGTAATATAGTGCTGTCGTAAAGGTAGCCTAAAGTTGCTGGCCTGGAGAAAAGGCTGATTTGCTGATACTGAAAGGCCGTCGGTATGCAAGTGCTCCAAGGGGGGGGGGTAAGAGGGGGAACAGGATGGGGGAGAGCGCTATGACTGCATAGATGTCAGGGGGCTCTACCTTGACTGTGGATAGTCACTGTTGGAATATGACCGACACACTCGCACATATAATGCCAGTGAATGGTGACAGCAGTACTAGGCCCCGGGGGGGGCTGAGTCTCACGGTGATGGTCGTGGTGCATGTGAGCCGTCCGGGGGGAGCCGGGGAGATGATGGGAGATGATGGGAGCCGGGGAGATGATGGGAGCGATGGAATGGCAGAGGGCGGAGGGGGAAAGACGAACCACGAACGAGTGAAGCTGCTGCCAAGGAAAGAGAAGCAAAAGAACTGACCAGTAGGCGGTTTTGAAGGAGCTGACCTCGAGATGATGGCGGAGGGGGGAGGTAAGGCGGCGGGATAGGGCTGCAGAGGGATACAGCCACCAAGGGCAAAAGAAGGGGAATAGCCGGACCTTGCCTACCGCCACCGCCCCCCTGCCCTGTGTCCGCCGGCACCTACCCCACCGCCGCCGCCGCACCCACTACCACCCCTCTACCCCTACTACCAGAGCCCCCCGACTGAATGCATGAGCCGCACACACACACACACACGAGGTAACATAACACCACAGGCACCCCAGCACTCGCTCAGCCCCCACCGCATCCGCCGTTTGTGAGGCCGCTTTGCTGCCTTGTAAAGTTGCTGAATTGTAAAGCTGTTGTAACCCATCCCTCAAATACAAATACACACATCCACACGGAGGTACCCCAGCCCTCACCCTCACCCATTCACCTGATGTGTCCGGCACCACCGCCACATCCGTCACGGGCGCCAGGCTCTTAATGACCGCCAGTTCCGACACCGGCCACCGCAGTTCAGGTAGTGGAGGCGGCAGCTCATCGACGTCACCTTCCGCATCCTCACCCTCAGCCTTCGCCTCCTCACCCGCCACCGCCGCACTCCCACCCGCCGCACTCCCACCCGCCGTCGCCGACTGCGGTTCCGGCTTCTGCTTTTGTTGCTGCCCATCTTCCCTCCCTTTTCCAGCCCCATTGACCCCTCCGGTCCCTGCTTTACCCTTCCCGACCGCCTTTCCTGTGGCTTCCGCCTTTCCCGCCGTTTTCAAGTCCTTTGCAGAGGCTGCTGTGGCGGGCGGTTGCTGCTGCGGTTGCTGCTGCTGCTGCTGCGGCGGCGGTGGTGGCGGCGGCGGCGGCTCAGCAGAAGGTGAGAGATAGGCCTCGGGAACGCACATGACCTTCAGGGCCGGGTAAGGAGGTGGAGAAGGGGAAGGGGAAGCAGAGGAGGTGGGGAAGGAAGACGAGGGTGACGAAGAGGATACAAATGGATTCACACGGCCGCCATCTGAGCTGAGCTGCGGGTTATTGTCTCTACACCGGTGCTTCATCCCCCTGACCGCCTCCATCAGCGTACCGTACCGTACCGTACCCGTCCTGTCCCATGGGCCAACGTACGTCCCCTCCTCCCCCCCCACCTTCCCCTCCTTATCACCCCTTTCCCGCTCTTTCCCCCCCACCCACACACACGCATACATACATACGTACACTCTGAACCCACCTGGGCGCTGCTGCAGTCACTGCCCACAAACAGCAGCCCGTACGGCTCTGGCTCCGAAACCATAAGCCCCAAATCGGCCTCAGAAGCCCCCTTACCCATAACGCTGCCACTGCTGCCGCCACGGGCGGCGGCGGTGGCGGCGGCGGCGGCCGCACCAGTACCGGCACCAGCAGCGGCGGCGGCGGCGGTTTCCCGCACCGCCGCCGCTCTGGGTAGGTAGGCGATTGCCTTGGGCATGGCGGGTGGCGGCCGCGGGGGGGGCCCCGGCAGGTCGGGCAGCACCCGGGCGGCCCAGGGCTGGCGACCCGCAGTGTGTAGCAGGGTCAAGCCTGCAGTGGAGGTTTTCAGGGTTTTAGCGGTTTAAGCGGTTGTAAGGGGTTAGGAGTTTCTGGGCTTCTGGGGTGACATGGGGGGAGAAGGGGAGAGGTGGAATCCGGAGCTTCATTGTCAAACCGACAACCATGGGTGTGCGGAGGGGGATGGGAGCCAGGCGTTGGAGCTGGGGGGGGGGGGTTGAAAGGAAGAGGTCGGGGCGGGCGGGGTGAGTCCAACGGTTCCAGTCAGAAATCCAACTTGCTTATAGCGAATCAGTCGTACGGCAGTAACAGGGTCCTCGGCGATTACCCCGGCGTTGGGTTTGGGTGCACTGTTGTGGAAAACCGCACTTCAACCCCCAACCCCTCAACCCCCCACACACGGAGAAGATGTCTCACCTGCCGCGCCGTCACCGATTAACAGCACGCCGGGAGCCAGATGCTCCGCCGTCAACGGCATCCCCTCCAGCGCGTACGACACCAACTGAATCTGTCGTACAGTCCCCTCCGCCTCCGCGAACTCGATTGCAGCATCCTCCAGAAAGTCCTTGCCGAACCAGCGGTCGAACAGCGCACTCACCGCAGCGGTGTCGAACGGATCGAGTGTCGAAAAGTCGCCCAGCGGCGGCCCGGGGTCCTCCGCCGCGGCGCGTCGTGCCGCCGCTTCCGCCGTCGCTGCGGCGAGCAGGATTGGCCCGAGGGTCGGCGGCCTGGAATACAGCGTCGCGCCGACGCTGCTGACGGCGACAACACCGGCGGGAAGTCCGGCGGCGGGGACTCCCGGGAAGGGCGTGATGACGGTGGTGGTGGGGTGCAGGAACCTGCGCCCAAGCGGCCAAGTGGGCATCACATGCAAGAAACAAAAAAACAATAAAATGCCACGATGTGTATGTGTGTGTATGTGTGTTTATGTGTATGTGTATGCGTGTATGTGTATGTGTGTGTATGTGGATGTGGGTGTGTTAAGGGTTAAGAGGCGGTCAGGCGGCCGGCAGGGGTGGGAGCCTAGCAACCAAGAAATGTGAGTCCCCCTAACCCCAAGCACTCGGGTCCGGGTAACGGAACGGGCACAGCCTTTCTCACCCATTTTTCCTCGCTGCATCCATCACCCCTACCAACCCCCAACCCCCATCCGACCTCCACCCGCCCGCCCGCCCCCACCTGGCCACCCACGGACCCCTCGAGAGCTCCGCACGCAGCGGCACGGAGTCATCCGCACTGCCCTCGCCACCAGCCGATGCAACCGCCGGACGCTTGGACGCGGCCTGAGCGGCGGCGGCGGCGGCCGACGTGCTGGGACCAGCGGCGCCGCCGGATCCCGACGCCCCACCGGCGCCGCCACCAGCGCCAGGGGTGCTGCCGCTGCCGCTGCCGCCGCTTGGGCCAGCGCCTTGAGAACTGCCGCCCGCGGCAGCTGCCGCCACCGCCGCCGCCGCCGCCGCCGCCTTCTTTCCCTCGCCGCCTTTCGCACCTTTCGCCCCTCCCCCTGCCCTTTTCTCCCCTCCGAGCTTCAGCTCCAGGGCCAGACAGTCCAGGGTGAAGCTGATGCCGCCGGAGCCTGTGTGTTTGGTGGGGAAGGAGGGTATGTGTGTCGGCGTGCCGCATGTGGGTTTGGGCTGTTGCTGTGTTACCCGCCTGTAGCACGCCTGTCCATGTTCGTGTGTGGCCCTGTCAACTGATAAGCCGTGTGGTCGGGGGTCGGGAGAGAGTGTGTATGTGGGAGCACGTATTACGGCATGTGGGGTTCACGGATGTGTCCGTGTGGCGTGACTTATATGTACGGATATGTACGGGGGCATGCAACGTGAAGAAGTACGGCATGTGGGGAGAAAAAGGATATGGCAATGACAGGCAATGCAGCAGAGATGTAGCACAACCCCGTTTCTTTCCAAAATCTGTCCTCCGTACCCGCTACTTATCTTGTCCCGTGTGGCGATTTTTGTTTCAGCTTACAATAACAGAAAGCCTCTATGAATGTCCGCTAAGGCCCCCCGCCGCCCACTCACTGAACAACTCACGTTCCAGCTTATGCAGCACCACCAAAAGCGGGGGCTCGTACGCATCCCGCTCCGGCGGTGGCATGAAACACATGTCGTACACGTGGGACATGTGCGCCATCACCTCCAAATCGTCCATCCCTGTCATCAATCCCGTATATCACGTTGTCCAAGCCGGCCCCGTGTGCAGTGCGAGCCCCACAAGGGGGGGGGGAGTCGAGGCGGGCGGCGGGGCGCGGGGGGGGCGGGGGAAAGGCGGTAAGATGAACCACCAAGACGGTTGACAGGGAAGGGGGTTTGTCGTATTGCAGACAGGTGCGGGTGCGAGTTGCACGTATGGTGGCGCCGTGAGGTACGTCAGTCTCGGACGTGTTCGAGATACGCGATGCGGGACGAGAGGTGGGGGGGTGGGGGGAGGGGAGCTAAAGATTGCACCACTACACACAGAGCTCGCGGCGCTCCGGGGGATCGACGAGGCACTTTGAAGCCGCTCCGGGGCATGACGCCAGGGCCCCTCTTTCCCCCTTTCCGACTGCCATGAGGTCGGTTGGGTTGGTTGTTACCAACCAACGGAGCCAGCACAAAGCATGCCGTACAACTGTACGGCGGCACGGTAAACCAAAAAATCCATAGGCTCCAGTGAAACCCTTAAATCCCCTACGAACCCAAATCGCGCAGGGGAGGCCTTTTCTCCCCCATTCCTGGTCGGATGGTGGTTGGAATGTCGGAGGAGGAGGGAGAAGGTCATTTTCTGTGACCACATCCTGGCCATTGGATATAACTTGGGTACATGCAGGGCCTTAGGTCTTTTATGTGAAGGGGCCGGGGCAGGAGAACAGACGGCTTGTCGCCATGGCCTGCATGGCGTAACGCCCAGGTGCTGCCGTGACCGTACGACGTTGCATCGTACCTGGCGGCATGCCGTACAGGGGGGTGTCCTGGATCAGTACTACGGCGCACATCATCAGCGGATCGCCGTCGGCGTCGCCGTTGCAACCGCCACTGCCTTTGCTGCCAGCGGTAGCAGATGCCACCGACGACGACGACGACGTCGATGGCGCCCCTTTATTTCCATTACTGGCGCCCCGCGCGCCGGCGACTGTGTGGAGCGTGATGACGTGAAGCATTCCCATATTGAAAGCGGCCACGACTACGGCGCGCGCGCTGCTTTTCATGGCTGTAATTTTTGAAACTGGTGCCACACCGCTGCTGCAGACACCTCCCAAGCGCTTGGGCATGAGTCCATTGCGTAAGGCGGGGAGTGGTAGCGTCAGACAGGCAGCCTCGGTTAACACATAGGGTCCGGGGGTGGATGGCACTGTCGTGCCCGGGGGCACCTGGTCACGGTGTGCTTGAAGCTCCAAGTTGAACAAAGCACAGCGAGCATCGAACGTGAATAGAAGCACAGAGTCTGTAGAGTCCGGCCCGAAGAGGCCAAATGACGCTGGCACCAAGTCCATGTGGTCGATATGTTCGAACAGATAAAAGCTTTGACGAAGTTCCAGGGTACCATCGACGGGTTCCCATAATTGCAGGTAGTCCCCGCAGCTAATCAGCAGCTGGAGTCGGGTGCTTCCATCCGGCCCGGGTCGTTCGTGCGTGGGACGCGCGAAGCAGCCTCGCACCACGTTGTTAACCGCAGTTGACGGCTCAACTTCCTCGACGGCAAGCTTAACGTCCTCCATCCGTTCTATGAGCTTACACCATGCCCACCTACCCGGTTCCAACAAACATTTGAGTAGCCAGGCCAAATCCAAAACACAGTTTCAACCTAAAGAGCATCACAAACCTTTCCATGGGTAAGCATGTCCACTGTAGCCAACGTGGGCACTTTGGCATGGGTTGACAACGGGCTCGTCCAACGGCCTCGCGATTTAATCGCGATATAATGTAGGATTGCTCTTGCCCAAGGTTTGTTCGAAAGCTGCATCCATTCTGAACACTCTCTTGACAGCTCTTACAGAGCAAGGGCTGCCGCTGATGTGCAAACTTGCCAAACCCTTTCACAGCTGCCGTCCAGACTTCTCCTGTCCCATCACGCCAACCACTATCGGTTTCTAATGCCGTGTTCCACGCCAGCCTTGTAGTCTAGGTTTTGGACTGGTTGCCGCCAAGCTGTTTCAGCGGGTCCATCCAACGGTGAACCGTGCCAGGACATGGCCTGCTGTCGAAACCCTCGTCCCACGTTTCCCAAGCAGAAATTAGGCTAGGATACCTTTATATGCCTGTAATGCAAACTGATTCAAGCGAAGATGCAGGAGACTACACGCTGGCCAGCTTCCCTACATGAAACCTTGTCCTTGCGGCCCTGCTAGCCAGAGCCGTGCATGTGTGTACGCACGAGGGGTACGTACTCCCCTCCGCCGCTTTCCGCCTGTTCACTGCGCCATCGTTGGCGCGACGTTTAGCGGCGCTGTTGGCCGCCAATGATGACCTTGTCAACTCGGCCAATCTATGTGCCATATGTGCCAGTATTAAGCCATACAGGGCGGTGGGGTTACATCAGAACATTACACAGATATGTACATAATCTCTGTGGGCGGTCCAGAGGCGGCAGATTCGCCTGCAGGAGGCTTGGCATGACAGTGGGACCCGTACTGGTCACTTAACGGGATCACCCGGCCTCCCCACTCCCCCCCACTCCCCACGCCTTTCGGTCAGTTTTTACGTTTGCTACTATCTTGCCCTGGCAGCAGCTTCAATCGCGTGTGGTTCGTCTTTCCCCCCCCTCCTCATCCACCTCCATCCTCACCACCAACACTATATACTGGACTGCCACCCCCCTGAACCCTGCACCCTCCTACTCCTACTCCTCCTGGTGGGCCACCGCACCCTTTCGCCCGGCGTCAAACCCCCGCGATCTCCCCTCTGCCCACCGACACCACCCCCTGAGTTGTCCCCCAACAACAGCGCCGACCGAACAACTGATGGACGTCCTGGTTCAAGACGGACATACAGACTCGGAAGTCAACCCGCCGCTCAGAAATCTTCCGCCGCGTCCTCGCCCGCCACCGATACCGCCGTAGAGTCGCTCTTCCCCGGATGACGTCGTACCTTCCGTACTCGCTGTTGCGCGGGGTCAAAACCCGCCTCCTGGCTTCCAAACACAGCCCAGGGAGGTGTGGGCAGCATGTAGTGCTCAGCGCTGAATTCGCCGCCTATGAGAGCATAGCGGAGGGAAGGGGAATTGGGGGGGGGCCCGCCGAACGGTCACCATAAATAGGTAATGGAACACACAGATTAGGAAAATGAAATTCAAAGCGGGCAAATATCAGTGAGTGACAAAAAGTATAACGAATCCAGCAAGTTAGTTCAAGGGTTTTGGGAATGTAGTGGTGTGTGTGTGTGCGCAGTAGGGAGGGGTAGTGGTTGGTGAGAGGAGGGGGGAAAAATCCGTTGCCAAACCAGATGCTTTGCCTTGTCTTGAGTTCAGCTAATCTTCAGGCATCAGGAGACTCCGCCAAACATACCCTGCTTGACCAGCTTCTGGAACTTGTCGTAGTCTATCCACGTGTGCCACTGACCCCCCAACAGGAACTTGTCCACCCGCGCCAACAGAATACAACACGAGTGCGCATGCTCGCAGGCGAGAGCGTACTCCCCTAGAAAAAGGGAGGGGGCGGCCAAGGGGGATAAAGAAAGGGGCGAAACGGGAAAACGGGACTTAAAAGTTTGAGTTTGGGGCCCCAAGGGCACACGCGCACGCTGCCATACACCAGTCAACCACTTCTATCCCCCTCTCTCATATACAGATATACATATACACACACCAAACACACACAGCTCACCTCCCCTAGCTGCGCAAATGGCCTGTCCAAACTCCACTACATCCGCATGGTACGGCACATTGGCCATTGTGAGGCTAGACGCCGCTCCCGCCCCGCAGTACGTGACCCCCTTGATCTCGATGAAGTCCGGCCGGCCCAGGTCCACCAGAGCGGCGTACGAGCTGACCTCAGACATGTTCCAGCCCTTCACCAGGGTCAGCCGATATACTGGGGGGGTTAGGGTTAGGGTTAGGGGTAGGGGTAGGGTTAGGGGTTGGGTTAGGGTTAGGGGTTGGGTTAGGAGTAGGGGTTGGGGTAGGGTTAGGGGTAGGGGTAGGAGTAGGGGTAGGGGTAGGGGTTGGGGTAGGGTTGGGGTTAGGGGTTGGGTTAGGGTTAGGGTTAGGGGTTGGGGTAGGAGTAGGGGTTGAGTTAGGGGTAGGGGTAGGGGTAGGAGTAGGGGTAGGAGTAGGGGTAGGAGTAGGGGTAGGAGTAGGGGTAGGAGTAGGGGTAGGAGTAGGGGTAGGAGTAGGGGTAGGGGTAGGAGTAGGGGTAGGGGTAGAGATTAAGGAAAGGTGCGTACGAGGGTACTGGAGTTGATAGAAGCCGCTCCCTCCTGCCCAACTGCCAGGACAACGTCTCTTCCACCCCGTCCTCCCTTCCCCGTCCTGTAAGGCCGTAAAGGGGCCCCCTCCACCCCGCACCCCCCTACCCGTCCTCTGCTTCTTGGCGGCTAGTGCGGACAGGCACGAAGTGAAGCGGTCCCAGTAGTCCGAGAACAGGGGCCGGTCAACAGCCTGGAAGGGGGAGGGAAAGACGAACCACGAACGAGTGAAGCTGCTGCCAGTACCAGGAGTAAAACTGACCAAAAGGCGTTCTTGAAGGCGGCCAACAGCAATCAGCAGCAGCAGCAGCAGCCGGGCAATGCGGGGTCAGAAACGGGCAGGGCAGGGATTGAACAGGAGCACCGTGGGTTGGGGGGAGAGGGGGAAAGGCAGACCGATTCCCCCTGCGTGATACACGGCATACACACGTGTCAGCTGCAGCTGGGCGTCAGGGGCGCCGGGGTGCTGGGTGTGCGGGGGGGAGGGAAGGGGATCCATTACGGACATCATCAGCGGCAGAGGTGTCGCTCAGGTGTTGAGAGATAGCTGTCGCTGCGAATGATGATGATGTCGTTGGGAGGTGGAGATTCAGATGATATCGAGGTGATGGTGATGGTGATGGCGATGGTGTTGTTGATGCACAACATGAGAAACAACGAAACGAACTGCCGCCGAACCCGGAAGCTGCCAAGTGCTCAACCGAACTGGAGCCCAAAACGAAATGATGACGCGACAACCTGAAAGGTACATACCTGTGAAAGCGGGTGGCTAATACATACATACCTCCCAACACAGACGCTCCTAGTGCACGGACACTTGACGTGCACGGAGCCACCTGGATTCGCCCATCTTCCGCATATCATATATTCCATAGTCGTACATTGGGTCAACATTGGGTCAAACACCCTTTCGGTGAAACCTTCTTTTCCTCCCTCCCAAAACCCCCTTTCCCCCTCTTCCCCCTCCACACACACACACACACACCTTGAGGCTCTCTGGCGTGGCTGCGTCTACGGAGACGTACAGCTGGGTGACGGGTTTGAGTTGCTGGATGCGGTCCGGGAACTGGGCGTTAGTGACCTGGGAAAGGGGGGAAAGGGAGCCGGGAGCGGGGGGGGGGAGGAGGGAGAGGAAAACACAGACACACGCCGATAAAGGCCGTGAAAACAGCTGGGCGGAGAGGTCGGGAATCATCGAGGAATTATGATTTCCGTTATGACAAAACAATGGCGATGATGTCAAACAATTCCGGGGATCGACCCCCTCCCACTATCAAGGCCCCGTCAAGGCCCCGACGGAGGCGGGTGGCGGGTGAGGCCGCGAGCTGATACACCCACACACCCACACACACAGCGGGGGCCCCGGGGGGTGCTGCGGAAACACCCCACCCCCCGATGCCTCCCCCCCCCCTCCCTCCCCCTCCCTCCCCCTCCCTTCCCTCT